GGGGGGGGGGAGCAAATCTGTTCTCTTCGTGGGCAGCATCGTCCTAGCAATTGTAGGTCATATAAAAGAACTAAAATTTGGTTTAATGTTTAGGAAAACACCAAGTATTACATGCAGAGTAACAAAGTACCCAAAGACCTTCAGAGAAGAGTTCTAATGTGGTACGACTACTCCTGGGGGAGGTGAGGCAAATAATTGAAAAGAATGAAAAATACAAATATGCAATATTGTTGCATTTGCAAGTTGCAGATCAAGGGGGCACTCTTTACCGTGATTTACACTTACTTTTAAAATAAACTCCATCGCATTTTATTTTCATTTAGTTCTTAAAATGCTTTTTAAAACATGCGCTTTTAAAAAATGTTGAAATGCGCGTGTACATGTTTTTCTAGCGTGGGTTTCCGGTTGAAGCTAAGTTGCAGAAAAACTTCGGAATTTCATTTTCTATATATGTCATCATTTCTTTAGGGGACGCATTGGACATGGTAATGGCGATGTTAACTCTCTCACTCTTCTTCCCGATAAACTCAAGACAGAGATAGCCCTACATGTGAACCTAGAGACCTTGAGTAAGGTCACATTCCTGCAGAAATGTCAGCCCGAGTTTCTTCACGATCTTGTTTTAAAAATGAAGTTGAGGATCTTCACACCAGGGGATTATATCTGCCGCAAGGGAGAAGTAGCAAGAGAGATGTATGTTATTATCAGTGGAAAGATTGAAGTTGTGGGGTGAGTTGATGCAACTTTACAGTACATCGGACTTGAGCGTCACCGAAAAAAAGAAAAACAATTCTCAAAGAAATGAGAGTCTGAGTATACTGATTACGCTTGTATTTCACTTGAGTATTATTTCTTTCTTATCCAGTTGTACTTTGATTATGATTTTATACAAACAAAAACGTGATATTTGTGATTCCTGTACAGTGATGCTGGTCAGGTACTCAAGGTTTTGTCCGGGGGAGATTTCTTTGGAGAGATTGGTATTTTGAGTCTCAGCGAGGGTCAAAACAGGTATGATTAGAGAGGAAATATTTTCCTATCATTTGAAACATTTTTTGAAATGTCTAGCATAGTGCACTGTTATCTAGTTGATGGGGTTGATTGAAGCTGGTCTAGCTTGGATGCACAGGCCTTTCTAAGATAGTTATTGATTGGGCACAAACAACTTCTATCTTAATTATAATGTACAAAATAGACCAGAATGTTTTAAATACTCAGATTAGTTCTAGAAGATCCTTTCTATGAATAATAGCTATTGGTGGAATCTTCCTTTTCCCGTGTTCTCCACTACTAGTCTCACAAAGTCTTTCGAGTGGTGTTCGTATGTGTAGGTAACTTAAGGTACTAAGTTAGAGCACGTGTATGCCATAACAATAAACACGAAAAGCTTTCTATAACTTTCTGCTTACATTTCAGACGCACGGCTGATATACGAACTGTTGGCTACGTTGAGTGCTTCGTGTTGTCCAAGGATGATGTTCTTAATGCTACACGGGATTATCCTGAAGCTCAGGTTTGATATAGCAATAGGCCCTTTGCAGCTAGTGGTCACGTGCTTGGATACCGCTTAGCAACACAAAACTGGAGAGCAAGCCTTCCAGTAAACAAAAGTTGTAATAGGTCAAGCACGCGTG